AAATGTACCTTTGCTCAGGACAGCTTGGAATACCTAGGCCACATCATTTCTGCTACAGGAGTGTCCACTGATCCTAGCAAAATCTCTGATATGCTCCAGTGGCCAACACCAACTACAATGACTGAATTAAGAGGCTTTCTGGGTCTGACAGGATACTATAGATGATTTGTCAAAGGTTATGGTACACTGGCTAAACCACTGACTTAAATCCTGAAACTCAAGTCATTTGCCTAGAATCCAGCAGCCCAGTCCGCATTCCATGCTCTCAAACAAGCCATGACTGAAACACTAGTACTAGCTATACCCAATTTCCAAGAAACCTTTACAATGGAAACAGATGCATGTATGGATGGTATAGGGGCTGTCCTTATGCAAAAGGGCCAACCAGTTGCCTACCTGAGCAAAGCTCTGGGGGAAAAACACCAAAGCCCTTTCCATATATGAAAAGGAGTTTCTAGCCCTTATCATGGCTGTAGACAAGTGGAGACACTACCTAGAGAGAGGCGAGTTCATAATCCAAACTGATCACAAGTCCTTAGCCTATCTCAAAGACCAGAACCTCCATTCTGACATGCAGCGGAAGGCAATGACAAGAATGATGGGCCTCAATTTCAGGATAGTGTACAAAAAGGCAAAGAAAACCAAGCAGCAGATGCCTTGTCCAGAGTTGGCCATCTCATGGCCATACAAGCTGTTTCAACAGTGCAACCAACATGGGTACAGGAGGTTCTCAATTCCTATGCCACCGATAGCCATACTCAAACTCTCATTCAGAAGCTCTCCATCACCAGTCCAGACAACCAAGGGTATAGTTTCAACAAATGTCTCATCTGGCACAATGGCAAAGTCTGGATAGGCAATAACTCAGCTCTGCAGACCAAGCTAATTGCACACTCTCATTCCAGTGCCATTGGAGGACATTTTGGGGTAGCAGCCACTTATTACAGACTGAAGAAGCATTTCTCATGGAAGGGCATGAAAACTGATGTGGAAAACTATGTCAAGCAGTGTAGCTTCTACCAACATGCTAAACACTCCCTACAGCACCCAATGGGTCTGCTCCAACCATTACCAACACCTAAAGGGGTCTGGCAAGATCTCACCATGGATTTCATAGAAGGTCTCCCCAAATCAGAGGGTTTCAACGTCATCCTGGTCATTGTAGACAGATTGACTAAGTATGCCCACTTCCTGGCTCTCAAACACCCATACTCAGCAGCTACTATAGCTCAAACATTCTTGGACAATATAGTTAAACTCCATGGGTTTCCACTGTCCATCACAACCGACAGAGATCCTATTTTTGTCAGCAACTTTTGGAAACAACTATTCACCAAATACAAGATTCAACTCAACCTAAGTACAGCTTATCACCCTCAAACAGATGGGCAGTCTGAGAGGGTCAACCAATGCCTTGAGATGTATCTCAGATGTGCAGTTCATGACTCCCCATTAACATGGAAATCTTGGCTGTCATTGGCAGAGTTATAGTACAACACCTCAGTGCACTCATCACTAGGCTGTACACATTTCAAGGCCCTCTATGGGTATGATGCTAATCTGGGTGCCATACCAACTATTACACCAGACACCAATCCAGATGTTAACGAGGTCATTCAAAACAGGAAGTTCCATCTTCAGTCCCTGAAAGAACATCTAGCAAGAGCTCAAAACAAGATGAAACAAACTACAGATACTAAAAGAACAGATTTTCAGTTCACGGTGGGGGATCAGGTCCTGCTGAAACTATAGCCCTATACTCAATCATCTGTGGCCAACAGGCCCTTCCCAAAACTGGCTTACAAGTACTATGGCCCTTATACCATTCTTCAGCGTATTGGTCAACTTGCCTACAAATTACAACTACCCGAGAACTCCCAGATCCATCCAGTGTTTCACATCTCCCAGCTCAAGCCATACACCCCGGATCACTCCCCTGTTTATGACACTACACCTGTGCTCATAGATCTCGAAGCTACAAAAACGGTCCCTCTGGCAGTACTGGAGCGCTGCATGGTGAAGAAGGGCAATACAACAGTCTCTCAGGTCAAGATTCAATGGACAGGGCTACCAGCATTAATATCAACCTGGGAAGACTACTACGTCGTCAAAACTTGTTTTCTAGATGCTCCAGCTTGGGGACAAGCTGATTCTCGCGCCGGGGGAGGTGTCAAACCCGCGTGAAGGCGTGCCACGAAGAGAAGAAGGCGCCAAGCTGTTCTATTTACGCATTGTTGATTTTACGTTTTTAGTAGTAGACTATGATCATTTGGGTCCACTTAACAGGATTGTAAGCAGCACATAAGTGCCTGCATTGCTCTGTACTGAGACATTCAGTAATACATAACGACGCAGCTTGCCCGCCGGCGCCAGGGTTCCGTCGAAATCCCGCTGTTCCGCTCACGTCGCCGGTGACCCGCCGCGGCCAGGGGTGTGACATGCTGTCACCGTCGCCAGCCGCGGCCGCCCTCGCCCGCTGCACCTGCTCTGTGATCCCGGTGAGTCTTGCGGCCACCAAGGCGCAAGGCCGCCAGTTCTCGGCGCGGGCCGGCCACGGCACCCGACCGCGGGGCTAGGGTTGCGTGCTCACCAACATCCACTCCGCCTGCTGCCCGCTTGCTCACCGACATCAAAGCCAACCTCCGAGGTACGTTCGTGCATGGTCGACCGGGTCTCGCCCTCGATGTTCACTTCCGCGTCCGAATTTAATGAGCTCCGGCCATGAGATCAGTTGTGGTGGGGGCGCAGATGCCGAAGGATTCAGCGGGCGTAGCAGGGCGTCGTCGCCGAGGACGTCCCGGGATTGGGAGGCCGAAGTGAGCGCCACGGGGCGGGAGCCGGACGTGAAGACGCCGTCGCCGCGTGATGAGCCGATGAGGTACGGGTTCCTGTCACTCTACTCGACCAATTCGATGCTGCTTCATTCAGTCCGGTGCTCGCGCTGTGTTGGTGGATTGGTGGTACGTGGTGACTGACGAGAAGGTGAACTGGGTGCTGAATCCATCCACTTGAGGTGGAAGCAATTGGGTTGTTGTGATGGTGGGATTGGTGGTACATCGTCACTGACAAAGTGGTGAATTGATCAACTTGTGGTGGAAGTGTTGCTGTTCCAGACAATTGAAATGTTACTCGCTTGTGTGCTTCTTTGTTCTCATAGTGGTGTGCAGCAGAATTATGAAGCTCTGAATTCAAGCTTTGTGGGGCTTAGAAAAGTTGAGACCTTTCAGTTAATACTTGCAGTTACCTTGTTACTTATTATTTGGGCTTCGTCAATGCTCCAAGGTGCGGATTCCATGGACGCATATGGCTGAGCTGAGCTTCTTCTGAGCATTTTTTATATGACGAACTTGGGGGAGTTGGGTGTGTTAAACACAGTCAAATGGAGCATTCATTTCTGATGAATTGGACCAGATATTGAGTTTGCGGGAGCTGTCAGGGGCAATATTCATGGTTCTATAGTTAGTCTTTTTTTTTTATCTTGGTTAAGCCCACAAAAGTCCCCTTTGTTGAATGGTTAAATCCTCTAATTTATTTCGTTTGCTTAACCAGCTGGATCTTCACGTATAATGCTAAAATCTTTGTGGTTCCATGAACTAGAAATAAGCCCCTCGCTCGGGGAACGAGGATTTCTCAAGCATACCAATTGAGACAACTTGTTCAACAAAGCTGACCTTTCCTCCAGCTTCAATAGTTAAACAACTGGTGTCTGCCATTGAGTAAGATCGTGTTCCTTAGCAAGCATTTTAAATATTTTCATAATTTTCATAATTTCTGGTTAGTTTAGTTTGGGGTATTTTATATCTGTTGGACCTTTAAAAAAATGAGAATTGTATGCTGATGTTTGAGATTGTTGAAGCCTTGTCTAAACCTGAGGGCAGCAACAAAAGGTCTTTCAGTTTAAGCTCTGAATGCTGCAACCTTTTCACTCTTAAAAAAAATCTCAAACGCTCAAGTTCTGATTGCTTTTGAGCTTCACTTTTTCTGATTGCTTTTGCATTCCTGTGATGATAGTGGGATCAGAGCTGAAAAGGCTACCCTTCTTCTGATTGCTTTTGCATTCTATGATGACAGTGGGATCAGAGTTGAAGAAGTCATGTTTTTTCTTTCTTTGGTTACTATATCCGACAAACCACATTGGCCTCCACATCATTTTCAGTTTTTCATTATTTTTTATTAAGCAGACAGTACCTACTAATACTAATTTATTTGGTGGTTATTACAATTCAGTAAAGGCTTTAGCTCCTCTTGGGCAGTTTCGGCATCCAACGCTAATATAGCAGAACTCCACCACTGAAGACATTCACTGGAGTCTTTTTAAAATGTATCACCGTCCGACAGTTTGGCTCACCCTGTGCACGTTCTCCTCTTCTTTATCTCATGCAGCATCTCCTATACAGTGTCTGGCATTAGTTCCAAGCAGTCAGTTCGATCCCGGTGATCAGGTAATTTCGCCCACCATTGTTTCCATAGGCGGACCGACCTATAGGGTGAGCTTGGGCGGCCGCCCTAGGTCCCCTCCGGCGAGCACCACTAGTACCCCCCAGTTCTCCGGCAGTCCGGCCGGCAGCAGCGTGTGAGCGAGCGGCGGCGGCCAGCGAGGCGACAGGCGAGTGCGTGAGGTTGAAGAAGGCCAAGGCATGCAGCTTTGCTTTGCTGGGCCGTCTGGCCAAAAAGGCCCATTTTCTGGCCCATTTTGGCCCTTAGGGCTAGCCGCAAGGGGCCAGGGGCGCCCCGCATCGCACACAGGCGCGCCGCATCGGCATCGCAGGCTGCCAGGCTCGCAGCTCGGGCGCTCGGCGGGCGGCGGCGCTCCAACTGGCTGGCGGCTGCGGCAGCACGGCGCTCCCCCCATTTCCAAGCCGGCGGCCAGCGAGGCGAGCAAGCAGCGGCGGGCGGCCCTGCGCGGCTGCGCCCGGGTGGCCTCTACGGAGAGTAGGCAGCAGCAGATGGATTGAGGAGGAGGAGATGAAGCTGGAGCCGGCGATGCGTCTAACCCGGTGATGGCGAGGAGGCCAGCGGCTCCAACTCCATTGAGCAAGAAGCGGTATAAGAAATTAGGTACTGTCATGAATCCATTATCTATTGCAAATTGTTAGTCAATTAAATAGGTAGAGATTGGTCTCTGACTGGTGAAATCAATTCAATGGTTAATTGGTTTTGCAGATTTGAAAAGCTTTTTTCCTAGTACAAATTCCACAAGTGGAAGCAACTCGGGGCCAAGTACTCGTGAAAGCGGTAATGTTGTTGTTCCTGAATCTGAAGAACAAGAAGAGCTACGAGATTCAGAGCCACATCCAGTAGAAACAGTACAAAATGTTGAACATCAAGAACCGTCCTCACATGAGCAAGATGTTGAAGGTATTAAGGTTTTCAACCCGGATGTTCATCTTGTTTCTGATCCGAGCCTTCGTGTAGCAATTGATCAATTCCATCCAGACATTAGAGATGATGTTAGGATGGCTTATTTGGTGAAGGGCCCAACCAAACCTTATGGCCATAATTTTCCTAAGAAGCCAAATGATAAGAGGGTGTTTCTAAAGAATTGGTTACAACAATATGATTGGTTGGAATATAGTGTGGCTAAAGATGCAGCATTTTGCTTCTATTGCTTTCTTTTTAAGCAAAAGCCCTTAGAAACACATTTTGGTCATGATGCATTCAGTAAAGAGGGGTATAGAAATTGGAAAAATGCATATAATGGATTTCCTCAGCATGTTGGTGGCCCGACAAGCTGCGAAATAAAATGAATGATGAGTGGCTTAAGGACTTGACTTTGTGCTACATTGAGAAGGAGATTTTTAGAGAACTTGATCCTGAGAAAATTAAGATGACATTTCAATCCATGAAAGATCGGAAGATGAGTTTACCTCCAAAGCGGCCTCGATGTTCTTAGAGTTATAGGATTGGTATGTTTTCCTACAATGTTTGACACTTTTTTACATATTCCCTCACTTGTCACTTACTCATTACTAAATTTATTTTAATTGCAGGTTGTTTATGCTTTTTCTTTTGATCATTTCTTGTATGGTAAATTATCTGGACGTACTATGGAACAAAAATTCTCCTTATGTGCTTTTCATGTGAAAGGTAATCATTTTCAAACTTCTTATGTACCTTTTGTTTGTTGAATTATATATTAGAACATAATTGTTATGTGACATTACAATATAGATATGATATACATACATAGTTAGACCGGTATATCGGTTAAGTTTTGTACCTGTACATAGCGATCCGCCCTAGCTCATATTTTCGGCTGGGTCCGCCACTGATTGTTTCATAGTCTCAGACTCAATTTGGTTTTAGGCTCGAAGTTTCTCTGTTTCAGTTTGATGGAGCTGTGTTAATTATTGTTAACTTTTGTTTTATGTGATGCAAACTAATTTGATCATGCAAGTCTCTATCAATCTGAGTCGGTTGTTCATTGGTCTTTTCATCTTCTTGTCATGAAAATTAACATCATAATTCAATGGAAATCTTTTGTAAGGTGCCGACTACAACTCTATACAAGAATCCCCACCGGTAATGACAACCAATGCAACTGGAATTTTTTTCATCACACTTCAGTGGTTCAGAGACATTCTATAATTAGACATACTAATTGGACACAATAGTTTACTATGTGAAAATTTCTGTCAAACAGGTAGATAGCAGAGTGATACTTCTTGATTTATGTTTATTATGTTGTTTTATATTAGTGCCATGACCTGCCATAAATGAGCACACTTCAGTTCTTGGTTAATTGTTTTACCATACATTTGATAAATGAATCATATTTGACATTTTATTTATTAATGACTATCGCCTTCAATTTTTGTAGGTGGATAGAGTTAGTACTGGAATACGCGCATCTTGTAGTTGCTGCCATTGTGGTTAACATTTTACGATTTGTGGCATCAATATTCTGCTGTTCATTGATTCACTTGTTAGAAGCTGTTTGCTTGACATTGCATGGTTATGGTTTACTGGTTGGAAGCTGATGAATCCATCCTTTAAAAAAAAAAAAACCAAATATAGTTTCAATGGTCTCTGCAATGGTTTTTCAACAAGGTCTCTTTAATTATTTCCAATAGTCTCTGTAATGTGATCCTTTTGTGTCATTAGAAAATTTCAGCTTATCCAATACCTGGTAGTGAACATCAGCTTGTAGCAGCTTTTAGGCGTCAAGCCACAGAGCAAAAATAGTACTCGATCTTCTTTGCATACCAATCTAAGGGACTGTTTGGTTCCCGGCACTAATATATCATAACTAATCTAAGACAATTATGATAAGTTGTTACCTTTTACTCTATATAGTATATATGATATTCAGTATGTTCCTGGTTGGTTTCTGGGCTGATAAATCCGGCTAGTTCTGGTTTGTTGTGAGAGAAAAATACTATATCATTGGCTGATAAGCTCTGGCTGAAACCAACAAGCGAACACATAAATATTTTTTAACTAAATTTAGTTGTCAACTACACACTTGTGAGCAAGAGGTGAAATGTGTCCAAAAGAATCCTGAGCCAAGAACGTTGACCATATTTTTGGCTCGCTCGAGGAAGCAGAAGATATATATAGCTGGCAAGAAGCCGTCACTGGGACGGATCAAGAACGCAGCCAGCAAAGACGACGGCGCCGGACACCTCCTCCATGATAAAGTACGCGAAGGGATGGTCGGCGACGAAATCGACAAACTTTGGTGGAGGGCCAGGCGGTGCAGCCCCAATCGTGGGAAAGCCGACGTACGTCACAGCTGCGGCCTCCGTACCTTCCTCGTTCAGCTCAATATGACCGCCTTGTGACAGACCTGGTTTATCTTGGGCGACACGCCGGGGTAGCCTCTTTCCTCGGCCATGTCAGTCAGGTCGGCGGCACCTTCTGAAAGAGTATGGTTAGGGGAATACTCAATGTATTACTCAGTCATAGTCAGTGTACATATATATAGGCTAAATGGGGAGTCATGGTAAACAGGCCCATGAGCCCAATTACATTCCAACACTCCCCCGCAGTCGAAACTGGGAGCAACGCGAACGTTAAGACTGGACCTAAACTCCGTGAAGACTGACGTCGGCAGACCTTTGGTGAAGATGTCGGCGTACTGGGACGTAGTGGGAACGTGCAGAACGCGGACTTCACCGAGGGCGACTCGCTCTCTGACGAAGTGCAAATCAATCTCAATATGCTTGGTTCGCTGATGCTGGACCGGGTTGGTGGAGAGGTAGACGGCACTGACGTTATCACAATAGACCACAGTGGCGCGGCGAAGAGGATGGTGAAGTTCTTGCAGAAGTTGCCGCAACCAGGAAGCCTCAGCAACACCATTTGCCACAGCCCGATACTCCGCCTCAGCACTGGACCTGGACACTGTAGGCTGACGTTTAGACGACCAGGAGATGAGATTGTCCCCGAGGAACACCGCATAGCCAGACGTAGACTTGCGCGTGTCAGGATATCCCGTCCAATCAGCATCTGTGTAGACAGTCAAATCAGCCGGTGAGGTCCGGTGAAGATGGAGACCGAGATCCAGAGTACCCTGAAGGTAGCGCAGAATGCGCTTCATAGCACCTAGGTGTGGCTCCCGAGGGTCATGCATGTAGAGGCAGACCTGCTGAACAGCATATGCAATATCCGGACGAGTGAAAGTGAGATACTGGAGAGCACCAGCAATACTGCGATAGTGTGAAGGGTCGGCGACTGTGACACCATCGACAGAGAGCTTGGCATGAGTATCCACAGGGGTGCTGCACGGCTTGCAGTTGAGCATACCAGCACGTTTCAGGATATCCAACATATACTGACGCTGCGAGAGAAACAAACTGTCATTCTAGCGCTGCACACTGACTAAGGAAGTGGTGGAGGGCTCCCATGTCTGTCATGGAGAATTCTTGGCGGAGAGCAGTGATGATCCGCTGAAGAAAACTCGCTGAGGAAGCAATCAGAACAATATCATCAACATATAAGAGCAGGAATGCCACATCGGAGCCTTGGCAGTAAATAAACAATGAAGTGTCGGATTTAGCTTCAGTGAAACCAAGAGAGGTGATATGAGAGGCAAATCAACTATGCTAGGCCCGTGGAGCTTGCTTGAGCCCATAGAGAGACTTGTTCAGACGGCACACATAATCTGGTCTGGAGGAGTCAACAAACCCAGTCGGCTGAGCACAATATACTGTCTCGGTCAAGGTGCCATGTAGAAATGCATTCTTCACATCAAGTTGATGGATAGGCCATGAACGAGAGAGTGCCAGAGTGAGAACTGCCCGAATGGTTGCTGGCTTGACCACAGGACTGAAGGTTTCATCATAGTCAATGCCTGGACGCTGTGTAAAACCACGAAGCACCCACCGAGCTTTGTAGCGGTCAAGCGAGCCATCAGACTTGAGCTTATGACGGAACACCCACTTGCCGGTAACAAGATTGACTCCAGGAGGTCGGGGCACCAGAGTCCAAGTGTTGTTGTCCTGCAAAGCATCAAACTCCGCCTGCATGGCAAGGCGCCAGGCAGGGTTAGCCAGAGCGGTGCAGATGGATGTGGGCACCGGAGAAAGTGTCGCTGCGTGGAGGTTCAGACGGTCGACGGGGTGGCGGACGCCATCCTTGCCGCGTGTGCGCATGCCATGCGCATTGACGACGGGCGTGGTCGGCTGAGGCGCTGTGGCGGTGGTGCGACCGGTGGGACGTCCGGCGCCGCTGGCAGCAACCTGGGACGAAGCGTCCACAGGGGCAGCAGCACCGGAGGGTCCCGAGGCGTCGGTCGCGGGGCCGCCCGTGGCCAGGTGGTGGGGCGGGGTGGAGCCGGAAGTGCCGCCCGCGCCAAGGCTGGCAGCGCTGCCTGGGCTGTGGCCTGTAGCGCCGCCCTGGCTGTAGCCGGCAGTGCCGCCTGCACCGTGGCCGGCAGTGCCGGGAGTGCTCCTCGGGGCGGCATCCATGCCGCCAGGAAGTCGTGTACCTGCAAGCACAGCTCTTGACCCAATGGGCAAAGAGGAATCATCAGCAGCATCCAAGAACTCAAGTGTGGTGGGATCCTGGGGCGAAGTAGACATATCGGCAAAAGGGAACACCGTCTCGTCGAATGTGACATGACGGGAGACGATGATCCGGTTAGAGTGGAGGTCAAGACACCGATAGCCCTTGTGTTCGGAAGAATACCCCAGGAACACGCACAGAGAGGAGCGAGGAGAAAGTTTATGTGGAGCTGTGGATGATAAATTAGGGTAGCAAGCACAACCGAAGACACGAAGATGATCGTAGGAGGGTTGCGTGCCGTATAGAGCAAAGTGAGGAGTGCGGTCGTCTAAGGTTTTTGTGGGGTGACGATTGAGAAGGTAGGTGGCGGTGTGTAAAGAGTCAGCCCAATAAACCGGAGGAAGACTAGCCTGGAATAAAATGTAGCGCACAATATTATTAATGGTGCGAAGAGTGCGCTCCGCCCGCCCATTTTGCTATGAGGTGTATGGGCAGGACATGCGAAGAACGACGCCATGAGTGAGGAAGAACGTGCGGGCCGAAGAATGATCAAATTCGCGGCCGTTGTCGCACTGGACTGCCTTGATGGAGGAATCGAACTGTGTGCGCACAAATGAGAAAAAGTGAGTAAGAACACCGAAGGTGTCAGACTTGAGGCGTAAAGGGAACGTCCATGTGTAGTGTGTGCAATCATCCAAAATAACAAGATAGTATTTGTAACCAGACACACTAACCACTGGGGATGTCCAAAGATCACAATGTATTAAATCAAATGGGTTTGGCGCGACGCGGGAGTTTG